ATCCTCACTGGCTTTAGTGGTTGGTGTGTATACTTGAATGATAGTGGTATTAACTAGACTTCCCTTTAGGCGCATGAATATTATACTATCACAGACAGCGATGTACCTCATGATTCATCTGGATATGTTCTTTTTGACAATGAATGCAACACCATTCCTCTTCCATTTGTCATTTCCGGCATAGTAAACCATGTGGTTGTCAGATTTAAAATGGCCAATACCAGTCCATTTCAGCTCACTAATGCCATTTTGGTTTTGACAACTTCTAGTTTTCCCAGATTCAAACTTCGTACATCCCATGTTCCAATTTTCAACGGATGTTTGTAGCTGTTTCTCTTCATTTTGAGTTGTGTCCCATCAGCAAATGAAGATCCTATGGGCTTTACTCCATTCATGTCATCATGGTCATCTCTACTTTGAGGATACAGCTCTTCCCCAGTCACATTTTGAGTGCCTTCCAATCTGAGGGGCTCATTTTCCAGCACTATATCTGACAGTATTTTATAAAGTTTTTGGTGACTAAATATTCAGAACTAGTTCATTACTCTTTCTTCCCTGTCTGTCTTTGTCTGGAAGCTTATCTGAAACCTGTCTACCATGGGTGACCCCTGCTGGTATGTAAAATACCGGTGGCATAGCGTTCAGAATCACAGCAACTCACAAGCCACCGTAGTATGACAAACTGACAGACGAGTGGTGGTAAAACATCATAATGAGACTTTATTTGGTAAAAGGGTCTTTATAGATAGCAGTATTTAAGAATTTCAAGAAATCATCTTGGATAGGAAATCCACCGCTATCATGTTGATTCTAACTCATAGCAACACTATAAGACAAAGTAGAATTGTCTTATAGGGTTTCCAAGGCTATACTCTTTATGGAAGTGACCTGGTATGGTGCTGTATCATAAACACTGCACTGTTAACCATAGTGCCAGCAGTTCAAACCCACCAGCAGCTCCTGGAAACTCTGTACAGGGTTGTTATGAGTCAGAGCTATCTTGACAGCACCTAAAAGCAACAGTCTTTATGGAAGCAGATTGCCACATCTTTCTCCTGCAGAGTGGCTGGTGAGTTCAAGCTGTGGATCCTTTAATTAACAGCAAAGTGCATGGGACCTAGTGCATTGGGACCTAGACCCAATGACTGGAATCATAAAAGAAAGGAGAAGGAGATTGGTGAAATACAGGAATACAGGGAAAAAGACCGTGTGAAAATGTCAGCAGATACTGGAGTAATGCTGCCACAAGTTAAGGAAAATGGAGTGAACAGGAGCTGAAAGAGATAAGGAAGAACTCCCCTCTAGAGTCGTCAGAGGGGATATTGCCCTGAGAATATCTTGAATTTTAATTTCCTGCATCCAGAATTGGGTAAATAAATGTTTGCTATCTTAATCTCCAAAGTTTGTGGTAGTTTGTTATACAAGCCCTAAGACACTAATACAGCAAGCTAAGCAATGACCTCTGACGTTATTTCTGAAGGAGACTTCACAAGCAAAGCAGCTTCCTAGTAGACCCACCATATTCAAAAGACCCATAATGATAATTCACATTAGTAGTTCGACCTTAGACCCCTCTGAAATTCCTACATCTGACTTATTTCTATGTCTAATGCAGAGAGCTCAGATGTTCCGTTTCTCAGATGTTGGTGTGCCTCACAGAGTGTTACACCACCTCCAACTAGGACATACCTGTAGATGCCCTCCACAAGGATAAGAATCTTTTTCCAAGCTCTGTGGGTTCGTGGCTGGCCATAAATTACTGCATCTTTCAGGAGCATCTCTAGGTTTTGTGAGTCTTGAAAAAAAAAAGAAAGAAAGAAAGAAAGAAATTGAGTTATGACAGGGTTTTTCTTTTCCTCTCTCACTTTCTCTCTCCAAATCGCTTCAGGTGTTTTAGGCATCGGCTCATACCTATATTTTCAGAGAACTAAATTGTAACAAGAGGACATTTGGGAAGAGAGATGTTAAGAGTAAAATTTAACTCTGGCTAGATAAATGGTCATATTTTAACTAGTAGGCAGAGTCAACCACACCAGAACAACAAGGTGTAACAGTCTTTTAAAAGGTTCTCTTCTCCTAGATACAAAATCAAAACTGCAATGAGATACCATCTTATTTGCAGTACAATGTCTAAGATTAAAAAAACATATATATATATACTAAAAATTTACAAAGGAAAATGACAAATGTTAAAAGGATGTGGAGAGAATCTTCATTCATTGCTGGTGGGAATAAAAAATGATGTTGCCACTGTGGAAAACGGGTTGGTAGTTCCTCAAAAGGTGAAACAGAATCACCATATGATCCAGCAATTCTACTAATTCTACTCCTACGTATACACTCAGAAGAAGTGCTAGCAGAAATGGTAACAGAGACCTGTATACCAACATTTATTGTAGCACTATTCATAAGTGCTACGATAACATTGTACATGTCCATCAGCAGATGTTGTCATGTGCCATCAAGTCCGTTCTGACTCAGAGGGACCTTGTATAGGGTTCCCAAGGAGTGGCTGGTGGGTTTGAACCACCAACCTTGTGGTTGGAAGTCAAGTGCTTATCCTACAGTGCCATACCAGGACTCAATCAGCAGATGAATGGATTGAAAAATGTGGTACATACATACAATGGAATAATACTCAGCTATAAGGAGAAATGACATTCTGATACATGGATGAAACTTTAAAATATGCCAAGTGAAAGAGATCAGTCACAAAAGGACAAATACTATATGATTCAATTTATATCAAATAACAATATGCAAACATAGGGAAAACAATGTTTATTTGATGTTACCATGCATGGGAGGGAAGCAGTGAGTTTCTGTTTATGGTGATTGAGAATTTGGCAGTGATTATGGGTAATGGTTGCACAATATAATTAATGTAATTGATAACCCCTGAAAAATATTGATGAGGCAAAACAAAAGGGGGCTCTCCTCTCCTGTTTTAGGGGGATTGGGATGCTGTATTAGATGCATTCTTAGGTGTAGGCTTTGTTGCCAGGCTAAAATGAACTCTAGGATATATAAGTAAGCTTACCAATTATTTGGCCATTAATGCTTTAGAGTTTATCCAAGTTTGCAGAGAGGGCAACATTGCTCTTAGCGGTCTTGTTTTGAGATTGACATTACTCACATCCTCACCTCAGGGGTATAGTCTCTATAGATTTAATCATAAAGACAAACAGATGGCACACCTATGTCCATTGTGGCAATATTCACAACAGCAAAAAGATGGAAGCAACATAAGTGCCCACTAACACATGAATGGGTAAACAAGATGTGGCAAATATTATGGAATATTATGTAGCCAGAAAGAATAATGATGAGTTCTTGAAACATATTATACTATAGAAGAATCTGGAGGACATTATGCTGAATGAAATAAGTAAATTACAAAAGGACAAATATATGATGCCACGTTTACAAAAATACAAGAATAGGTATACAAACAAAGACCAATGTTCTTTAGTGGTCTCAGAATCCTGATGCTTCAGGATAAGCACTAGACTCCTAACCACAAGGTTAGTGGTTCAAATCCACCAGCTACTCTTCAGAAATCCTACACAGGCTTGCCATGAATCAGAACTGACTCGGCACTTAACAACAAAGACAACAGGGGTAGGGGGAGAGAATTATTCTCTAGATAGTTAAGACACCTATTATTTATTTATTGTTGATGGAAATCAAGTATAAGTGTAAAGCACACAGCTTGACTGACGTAAATGATGTCAGTAAGAAGTATACAAAAGAAAAGGACAGTTTTGATGAAAGTTATAACACATATAATGTTAACAACAGTCAAAATTATATATGTGGTTACATCCGTTTGTATATATACATATATGTAAGTATGAGTTTGTATGTATGTGAATTCTCCAGTGGCACTGTATGATAAACACTGGACTGGTAACCACAGATCAGCAGTTCAAAACCAACCATGTGCTCTCAGAAACACTATGAGTTTCTGGGTCACTATGAGTTGTATTCAAATTGACGGTACACAACAATGTGTGTATATATACAGATGTACCTTTATGTGCATGTGCATATATATGTGTTTGTATCTCTCTCTCTCGCTCTCTCTCTATATAGATCGATAGATAGATAGATACAGAGCTCTGGTAGCGTAGTGGTTACAAATTGGTCTGAAAGCCACAAGGTCAGCAGTTCGAAACTACCAGCTGTTTCGTGGGAGAAAGATGAGGCTTTCTGCTTCCGTAAAGATTTATAGCTTCGGAAACCCTGTACAGGGTCGCTATGAGTCTGAACCGACTCCACAGCACGTAACAACAATATATATATATATATGTGTGTGTGTGTGTGTGTGTATGTGTGTGTGTGTATAATAAACCCCAAAACTACATAGGGCACTGTTACAGCTACTTGTTAGATGTAACGAAATACCTCATAAGATTGGTTTTCTGGATTTGAAGGCTTAAGAACCAAGGTCTCATGGTGACAATATAATGCAGTTCATATCGTTTATGCTCTACATCCCAATGTGGTGAGTAGTATCTGAGGTCTTAAAAGCGTGTGAACAGCCACTTTAAGATACAACAATTGATTTCTACCCATCAGAGAAAAAGAGAAAGATAAAAACAGGAATTAGAAACTCAGAGAAGATACTGATATACAAGACTAAATCATTTATACGAACCACAGCCTCATTTACCCTGAGAACAGGAGAAGTAGATAATGCCTTGTTGTTAGGTGCTGTACTAACCTTATGCATAACAGGGTCAGACACTACCTGGTTCTGCATCAACCTCACAATTGTTATGCGTTTCCCATTGCTGTTGTCATTCTGTACTGATTGTATGAGGGGCTTCAAAAATTCCATAGAAAAATTCTATTATCTTTTCATTCCATTTTTCCATGAACTTTTTCATGCCCCTCATTTTTCATGCCACATGTTTTTCCCCATCAATAAAACAGGCATAACAATATCCCTGGAGTCAATATTGCACTCTGTTCATAAAATGCTTCCTAATTGTCAGACTTTTGGGGACTCTTCTGAGTCCTTATGCTGTTTACTATGTGGGCAGAATTTGACACATGAAACAGACACTTGTTTCTAAAAGTCTCACCTTTGATTTCAGGACACTCCTCTTTCTTGGTTTTCTCCTAACTTTTTTTTGCCACTTTTTCAGTATCTTTTGTGAGAGTCCTTTCCTTTTTTCAGCCTTTTTATTTTGGGGTTCCACCCTGTCCTTTTCTTTTTTTATTCCTTTACATAACATTCCAGTTTCAAACTCACTGCCTTGGAGTCAACTTCAACTGGTAGCAACCCTGCATAGCAATTCTGAGGCTGTAAATCTTTACTAGTGAGTAAGGAAGATCGTAAAAGAACTGATGCTTTTGAGTTATGGTGTTGGAGGAGAATATTGAAAGTGCCATGGTCTGCCAAAAGAACCAATAGATCCATTTTGGAAGAAGTGCAGCCAGTGTGCTCCTTGAAGACCAAGATGACCAAACTTTGTCTCTCATATTTTGGACATGTTGTCAAGAGGGACCAGTCACCAGAGAGGGGTATCATGTTTGGTAAGGTGGAGGGTCACAGATAAAGAGGAAGACCCCCAGAGAGATGGATTGGCAAAATGGCAGCACCAATGGGCTCAAATGGGCAGTGTTTAGTTCTGTTGTGCATAAGGTCGCTATGAATCAGTACTGACTCGATTGCACTTAACAACAATAACAACAAATCTTTACTAGAGCTGAAAGCATCACCTTTCTCTATTGGAGCTGATTGTATACATAAATATAAATCATCTGAGGAATTTGTGAAAATGCAGAATCTGCGATTTCATGACTCAAAGATTCTGAAAGAGTGGATGAGGGCTAAGGGTGAAAGGTGGGCACGGTCTTTGGACTCTTAGATCCATAACTCAAAGCCAGATCTCTAGCTTGAGTTCTAGAATAATTTTTACAACACTTTTTAAAGCAAACCCTCAGGCACTTCAAATTTACCATCTTCAAGATGGAGCTTGTGGCAGACCACATAATTGGCCTCATTTCTATCTCTTTGTCGCACATTCTTTGCCATGTCACTTTGCAGTCCTTCCCATTAAAGGGATGAACATATTTCCCTGCTCCTTAATTTGGATTCAGCTAAGAGATGGACTTGTTTTGAGTAACAGAAAACAGAAAAGAGATCGTGTGTTAGTTCATGCATACACCTTAAAAGGCCCCCCATGTTATTGTTTTCCCTCATTCTTTTGCCATTATCATGAAATCACCAGGAATGGATGAGAAAATTGCAAAGTACCATTACTCCTCTCCACCTGTAGCAAACTGATAGTTGGAAACTAAATACTTATTGTTGTATGCCAATTTTAAATTGGTCTACTGATAGCTGGGGTCCTGGTGTGGCGCTGCAGGACAACGTGCTGGACTACACAGTCAGTTTGAACTGCAAGTTTCAAACTCAACAACTGCTTCTCAGAAACCCTACACAGGGTTACTATGAGTAAGAAATGACTCGACAACACTTAACAACAACAACAACATACTGACAGCTACTGAAACAACTGCAAAAAACCCTTCTTATTCTAGCTCCTGTCTATTTTTCTGTTACAGTTTCTTGGTGTACTTAATACAGAGGCTACCAACTTACCTATATGACTTTACCCTCTTGTCTGTTTAAGGAACTTCCATTTATTACTTAAATCTCAACTCAAACTCTTCTGAACAGTAATATAGTACAAGTACAGTTAAGGGCTGTCTCCTTGCTGTCCTGATGACTCATGTTGTTGTTGTTGTTGTTGTTGTTAAGTGGCGTCGAGTCGGTTCCTA